GCAGGAACATTAGCTACTAAAAGCGAATGGGGACGGAGAGTTAATAGAACTCTAAGAGTAAAGATGGTATGTAATTAACAAGCAAGAAAGTGGAAAGAGCAGAAGAGACACAAACCTGGATCTGTGATGCGGGTGAGTGGGTGGATTGGTGCCATAGCCAATCACGAAGCTGCGTCCAGTATCTCCCAGGATGTAATCGATCTGCTTCTTGGCAAATGCACGGTAACTAGCAGCATTGATACCCAGATCCGCGGCCTGAAACACATTTCCTTATATTCACAATATGCCTTCTTAATGTATTTGTGATACTAAACAACGTGTGTATCACGAAACGCAACATTCCATAAGTCATGTTCTCAGATACATTGTGTTTCAGTATGTTTTCTCCTTTCTCAAGAATTTCTTCAGGGTTTACTTTCCTAAATGTTGTATATGGTGTATGTATTATGGGTTGTTGCTCGGTGCAGTGATTCATATTTGTCGATGTCTGAAAGTTTCTGCAGAACATAGTCTTTGTAATCATCGTCATCATTAGAGATAGTGACGATGACTTATTCCAGCAGAAACGTTCGCACGCAACAAATACAGAACACAGAAGCTCATTAATAAGTGTAGAAGGAGGAGTAGTCATTTATAATTCCATACTTCTGGCGTCTGTATAGACCTGATCACATCTTGTGAATATTCCATCCACACAATTATTGATTACCTGAGCACAAATGAATGCAGCATTGGCAGCCATTCGAAGGGAGCCCCATTGGTCGATGTATACGAGACCCTTTGGTGTCTTCTGCTGGGAAGTCGTGATGTAGTCGCAGTAGCCTTGCACCTTGTCCTTGTAAGATTGTGTGCCTTTGATCTTAGCCAGCAACACCTGTGGAAGATACCGTCACATTTATGTTGAGGAGAGCCTTCACGAAAGCGATATCGCATCTCGTGATTAGCCCTCACACCCTTTTCTGTCTATTTCATTTATTCGAGATGAGAATCGATATCAGGCGAAGTATTTCGTTGCCTGCAAAACGTGACTTAAATTGCTGATTCTATCAGATGCAAATTATTGGGTCTTCGTAAAAGAGTAAATCAACGCATTAATGGTCGTCTGTGCCTAATTCCCCACAGTTTTCTGACCTGTAATCCAGAGATCTTCTGATCCCAAGTGAAACCACCGTTCCAGTTCCCAAGGCCGAAATCGTTGTATAACTGTTCCGCTTTGGTCAGGTAGGTGTTGTCGTTGGTTGCCCTGTACAGCCACACTGCAGCCCACACCAGCTCGTCCTTGTAGTCGCCGGATCTGTTGTACTTGTCCGTACAATTCGTTCTGGCTCACGTGCGCCTTGATGAAGTAGTCCGTGCCCCATTTAATCAATTTGCGAACATCAGCCAGAGCGCCTGTGACAATCAACGATCGGATAACGTGTGTTCGGAAACATTGATTTTCGTATGAGGAAGATGAGAGGACTTTTAGCAGCATTTTCAAGTGACATCAGAGAAAATTCACAATATACTTGTTTTGCGTCGTAAGCGTAATCTTGTATTTATTTACAAATCCTAATGCGAAATTTCTGGTACAGATTCCCTGATTCGTTTAAAGAATTCTGTTCGTAACTTCGTATGTCTTACCTGCTGCGACGTATCCTGCTTCGTCGTCCACAACACCCCAAGCTATGGTGGTAATTGTGTACGCCATAGGGAAACCGAACTTGACATAGTCACCAGCTGTGGAAACACAAAAACCATACAGACGCATTTCACTACCACACGAATGTCATTTATAAAAAGCCATATCATGTTACTAATTATAGACTTACCAAACGTTTATAGTGTAAGCAGAGTTTTGTCGGATAACAAGACATAAACAGACATTAATGTGCCAGTCATTTTCTGTGTCAATCAAAAACATGATAAACTTACACACATATTTAAAAATTACTAAGCGGAAAAAATTTCTGTATTTCGTGTCCAGATCATTCATCATTAATGTAATGAGAAAACGCCTTAGGCCTGCACATTAAAATGTTTAATGCAACAGTTTGCCAACAGTGGGAGAAGAAGGAAATGGTACAAGCGTGCTCTGTGTACATTTCCAAATAATTTATTGCAAAATTCACAGCATGTTAAAATCGGTTCCATGCCTCTTTTCTCTGGGTAAATGATCTTGTTACAAAATTATGGTACTGACAGTCAGTGTTTGTGACGTGGACGGCCTGGTAGGCAAGTGATCTTGTGCGCATGTGTAACCCTCTATATCTGAGTACAGAACATTGGTCTTTAGTACAAAGATATTTCTCCCACGTCTTTGATACTTTCCGCTGTCCGTAGTATCATTATTCATTTATTTATTTTGTTTTTATTATTTACTTTTTAACTTCCAGTGTTTTAAAGTATTACCAGTAACGTTTATACCAATTATAACAAGCACGACGTTTTCCGGTCTGCTAGTAGTAAGGTACATGTCTACTCAGGACGCATACGTCATAGGAAGTTTTCTCTCGCGTACAGTAAATGGTCTACTATCCAAGGATATTTTCCTGGATAAAATAATCGAGCTAAAGAGAGGATTGAACTTAAATAACTTATGTATATGCAGGTACAGCGATGTATCTGACTTATTGGCCCGAATGTAACATTGACTTGTGCTATGAGAATGTTGTGTTGAGTGCTTTATTGGGGTTCAGAACTTGGGCATAGGTGCATGTATTTGTTAGTGCAATTACCGTCATAGTAACCGCCTGTGAGGTCCTCGCCTTTCTGGCCCTTGTCGTTCAGAGCTGAGTCCTTCCTCCACGTGACCCTCTGATCAGAGGGCAGTTTTCCCGATCTCTGAGCTTCGTAGAAGAGTATCGAATCGCGGAGCACTTCCTTGTAGTCGTAAGCTGTAACACAATGATGATTATCGTTATTAAAGGAGACTTCTAGTCCTGCAAGTTGAATGGCGTCTCACTGAACGTGAGACTCTTTTAAAGTCTTCTTAATTTTCTGATACGTTCGGGGTGGTCATGGTCGCTAATAACGCTGTTCAGTACGTTACCTTGGCAGAGCGCAAGCGCTGACAGAAGATAGACGAAGACCCTCATTATCGGTTGCGGTGGTTGCTCGCCGAGTAGTGGTTTGGATAGGTCCTCGGGTTCGTATTTATACCCGGAGCACACGCAGTAAGTGTCGCTTCAATGTCACCTTAGTCGTCAGACCTGATTTATAACACTGAACACCTGAGTCTTATTTGCCTGAATCTGCACCACATTTACGTATGATATTTATAGCATTCGATTATTTGATTGAGGCTGTGGAGTAACCATTTTTCATTATGACGTTGACAATCCGAAAATATTTTCTTGGAAGTGCTAGTCGACATTTCGTTTCATGTGTTCCACTTTTGTCTATTTTGTTGTTATTGATAATTTTATTACTTTTTTACTGCTCTGTGTTAATTTCTGTTAATGGTGTCCGCTAAACTCCAAGCGTCCTTGAGCATCATTCAAGTAGCCCGTGGTACAGCTAGATTTAGAATTTAATTCTAAAACAATAGGAATTTAATTCTAAAGGTAACTGTGCTGATATGCCAAAGTAATTGTCTGATAAGTTCATCAGTAGACTCAGTTCCATATTATAATTTGCTTATTTTTGTAGAATTAGTATTAGTATATTTCTACACATTGTACTATGTTGTAATTGAAATAAATGTATAGTATTCAGGACGGTCAGTTATAATGGTCTATCCGTGATTCAGAACTATTTAATGCATCCTTACGCAAACATAGAAGTTAAAATGGCACCAATATATGTGATGACGATTCTTACAACATTATGAAGATGATCGGTTCATAATAGCAAATCAATGGATGTAAATTACCATTAGCGTAACTCTGACAAAGCTTGACATGTTTCTCAACGATCAATTAATTTTGGTTAAAAGTTAATTATGATCATATACAAGCATGTTCCATTTAAACGGGGGCGCGGGCACATAATTCACTGTGCATTTACTTAGTCTTTGTGTGAAGGTTTTAATTGCATGTTTCTTATAAAAACAAAACTTTTCGAGTTGATTGTCTGCATTAGGTTCTAGTAGTAAACGTCTAGAAAAGGGATTAATGTTTGTAGCGGGGGATTTTGGGAAATTCAGAAGAGATCAGAAGCGAAAATGAGATATCAAAAGAACATACGAGGTGCGATCGGAAAGTTTCAAGACTGTGTCAATAGAGGGCGAACCGGATTTAGTACGAGCTTCTGCCGCTAGGGGGTGCGGCCTACATTTATAGTGAATCAGTGTGCCAGCCGGCATCATCGAATTAGCATTTGTTTCTTAGTTACGGGCGTTTTGGTAGTGCATTACACCGAACCTCCTGCGATTTCGGAATGGCGGATTTTCATGAATAAAGAGTGTGCATCAAATTTTGCCAAGGACTCGCCAAAACGGCTACGGAAACCTATGAAATGCTAAAGCAAGCATTTGGGGAGTCCGCAATGGGTCGTGCACAAACTTTTGTGTGGCATTCACGTTTTAAAAATGACCGAACCTCTGTCGATGATGACGAGCGTTCTGGACGACCATCTTCGAGCACAACGCCCGAAAATGTTACCAAGATTCGGCAGGCCATTCACGAAGATCGACGTCGTACCATAAACGACTTGTGCGACATTGTTGGGACCTGTCAGCTGATTCTAAAGGAAGAACTCCACATGCGAAACCAAGGCTCCTGTCTGAGGACCAGAAGCAGAATCGACTTCTCGTTTGTCAGGAGCTAAAAGATCTTGCAAGAACCGACCCCAACTTCCTTCCTAAGCTCCGTGTGACTTCTTCCTCGTCCCAAAGATGAAAATTCAGCTAAAGGGAAGGAGATTTGAGACGATAGAAGAGATTCAGACAGAATCGCAGATGGTGCTTGACAGGCTGACAAAGAAAGATTTCCAGGGATGCTTCCCGGGAGTCAATGCGTATGCCAGAAATGAAGTGCTCCGTGAAACGCAGAACTATGAGAGACAGCGACAAAATTACTTTACTTCTAGCTTAACTCGTGCTGAGGTAGAAAATGAACCATGGCCGCAACGTGTTTCCTCCCGTCTAGGAAGGTCACTGCACGTCCTGGCAACAATATACAAGACAAGTTTTTATGTTTCAACTCCGATATTGTCTTCTCTCATTTTCATGAATCATAATTCAATTTCTTTAATTGTATTTCTTCTCAACTGGTCCCTTCCGGAAGCTAAAGACATCACTGTAATCACAGGTTTGGTCTGCTATCTGGATTTTTACTTATGTTTTTGGACACCATTTCTTCTTCTTTTTCTTGGTTTCTTGATGCCTGGTTTTCACACCTCCTTCGTTTATCCGCCCCACTTTTCACTTTTGTTTTATACCCACTTGCAAATCCCCCATTACACGCTCTCATACAAACAATTTTATAATTTTAAACCGTGGTCATAAGAGACAATGGAACGGGAATTCTCTTCATAGGCGTATTCTTTGATGATTTGCTAAGAAATGGACATTGCTCATGTACATCTTCTGACTCTCATACACATTTGACGATTCCGTCGAGAGAAAAGTACTTGCCGTTTAATATAAAGTAAGCTCACACAGCGATTTCTGTGAAAATGTATGTCAAAATTTATTTTGAAAATACTTTCAGGCTTGCAGTGTAGTTCAGATGGCAGATATTTTCAAACGTCTATGTGACATGACACTCAGCTACCCTTACCGTATGCAGTCTTCCAAATTGAAAAATTCGAACAGAAATTCCACATTAGAACTTTCCTTCACGACGATGAAGTAGTAGCGAACTGGGCAGCCAGAGCAGATCTACTCTGGTATACCATGGAGACTCCCGATGAGTCCTTGTAAACAAAGCTAGCCCATTCAAACTATTTGATAGACGAGAATGGTGGCGTTAACTCAAGGCGGAGACAACCCCCAACCCCACTTACAATCCCGGCAGCATACTGTAAATTTATCCACGACGATGTCCTTAAACGTTCGTCCCAAAACGACATTGAAAAATGAGTACATTTAAGCGTCGTTAAATAAGCCACTGATGAATTAATAAAAAGTACACGGTGGTCCACACTATTAATCATTTTAGGATAACAGAAGCTTGCACTTGGCTTTCCAAGTCTTATCCAACTGTGTCAAAGTCTCACAAAAGAATTAGCCTGTTCAATAAGTCTGTCAGACTCTTTAGCGAATACGTTCATTAGAACAGCTTAATTGTGCTACTGACTTAACCAGTGATCTGTCTCTGATAGGACCACAGTGACTAAATTAATTTGAATCACTCGCGTGACTTTCGCCCTGCCACATCCCGGTGGATGGATATAGAGTCGCATTGATGGGTCCGAAACCAAAGTACAGCGGCTCACTACTACCTAATAGGTGAAGTTTAATATCAGTTTAATCCAGTACTGGAGTCTTTTAATTTTACATCCATTCTGTCCATGGCAACCCTTCCGCCAGATGGGTGCCTGTTTGCCACTTTTAAGGAGTTGTGCAAAACAAATTATCTTAAGATGGCTGTCTTCTGGGTTGCTTTGCCGTGTAGTCAGGTAGAAGTTTACCGACGTTTCAGAGAACTTGCTGCCTTCATCATCAGGGCGATGAATAAGCTCATTCATCGAAGACTACACGGCTCAACAACCCATAAGACAGCAATCTTCAGATTCACCTCCGTGAAAACCAGAAATCCTACATAGGTTATCTTAACGCTGCTTTAAAGAAAGTTTCCCATGTACGAAACAATAGTAGATGTACCTAGACATTTCCAAAAAGAAATGGTATATTCTATGGTAAATCACAGTTGGTGTTATAAAAAATATGATGATTGAAAGAGTTAGAAGATTTATTGTTTCCGATTATAAACTTTAAGGGGGGGTTTCGCTATGAATTTAATTATTTTAGTGTTGGGTTATTATAACTAAAGAGTGGGATATTTTTTGGAAAAATCATGTTTATTATTTAGGGGACCAATAAACATCCTTGCCGTAACTGAGGAAAAATAGGTCAAAATGTACGTTTGCACACGATACTGTAATCTCGGCCAAAGGGAAAATTTCTTGTATATTCTTATGAGGGAAGTTCCATTCGTGCTGACCAATCAGAGACGAGATAACATGATGGCGATTTATCTAACTGAAGGTTGATGAGACTGGGTTTTACAGCGGTACATCGACACGCCCTCTCATGTCAACGTTGATAGTGGACAGACGAAAATCCAATCTCTCCACGTCTGGAAATTCATCAGATTTCTTTTAGAAATTTTAAAGTTTCCAAATTTATAAGTTAAGTTAAAGGATTCAGAATGAAGGCAGCTGCTGAATTACAAGTGACTGTTATCGGATCCGTGCTAGTAACTCTTCACATCAAAATCCACGTTTCCGTCAACAAATTTACAGTTCATAAGTGCGTTAGTTTCTCATTTAAAATGTACTTTGTGTCATCATCTGATAAGACACGCACTGCAGATCCCTTCTATACCGAAAGTTTAAGCCGACAATATTAACAAGAAAACCTGCTACACCGATCTGGTAGGAGGCACATCATGACTGTCAACAAGTGAGACAAAAGGAGGTTCCTTCACAAGAGACGGGCTCCAGATGTGGCTTTCTGTAGGCAAAAAAGTACGTTTCGACTATTCAGCACACACTTTAACGTAAAACTTATAGAAGTATCAATTATTTAACATAATTTTGAGAAAGTTCTATCATCGATGTACACGTCATATTTCAAAATATACCAACGAATAATCTGATCAATATAAACAAAGATAAAACACGCAAACGTTGCCATTGGTAACAGCTAATAATGTTCAGGCAACCAATCGTACTTCGTATGACATGTGTGATCATTGATCTGTAAAGATATTCGGTCATGCAAGATGGGGCGTATCTAGTCCCCGAATATGGACAGACACTGAGAACAGTCACGATTACCGACCTACAGTTGCACAAATATAAAATTGAGATAGCTAATTTCATTCTATATAGCTTCACATTTATACCTGCACGTCAAATAAGATTTTCATACCTCTAGATTATCAAATCGATCATTTACAGATTGACGCAGATTTGTACGAGAATAAAATGTGCTATAAGCAATCCCACGCTTTGGGAATCACTGATCTAATCAGTGGTAAACTAAAGAAAATCCAAAGAGGATGTGACCAATGTAGCCAAAAGATAATGAGGACCAACATTACCACCGACTTACAGTTATACAGCACTGGATGTTTATTGTGAATGAAATAAAAGTAATTGAAATGAAATATTTTATTACATGTTCCGTTGTAATATTACAGTTTTCTTGTCATTTTGCGCACATTCATCGCATTTATTCCATAGCACTGATGCGTAAATTTACAGATTATTCTTTATCAAGTAAGCCAGAAGACCCTGGAACGCGGCGTTGTAGTCTGTGGCGACCTCGTTGGAGACGTAATTACTGCGTTCGTCCTTGTAGTTGTCGCTGCTATCAGGACCGCCCACCAAGGCTCCGGTCAGGACGTGGACGTTGGGGCTGGCGCTGTTGTATGCGTTCCAGTCACACACCGCTGGGGCGTCGGGGCAAGAGCTGTTATAAGCAAAAGCATGAACTCCGTAAGAGCGGGCTTTATTCATTATACCCTGGCGGTTATTCCGTCGCTTGCATACATACCGACAACTATCTTGAACCTTGCACGGTAGATTACATTCAGTTCTAATGGAGTTGAAATGGTAAAGAACTGCACAATAATCTGATGCAAAGTGCCAACTTAAGTTACCCCTCATCATTTCTGGGT